AACCTCTTCTCAAGAATTGCTTCATTGCGCCCTTGAGACAATAAAAACAAGGGCCGAAGAATAAATACACAAACCCAAGAATGCGACCGTGAAACGTAATTTAAAAAAAGTGTTCTTTCTTTCTGCAAGCGAGCGGATGGAAATGGGACCAAACAATAAATGTCAAGCAAAACCAAAATGCTGACAACAACGTACCCAGCAATGTAAGCTCCTTCTATACTACCAACGCACCAAACCAATTTCACTCCGTCTATCGACAAGCTCTTACTGAATCTGCTTCCTCCCTGCGCTTCGTCATATTCAGCTTCAGGCCGACAGAGAAGGCGCTTTTCAGGGAACGCCTACGACGAGCCAAAGTATCTGGATCTTGACCCTTGCGGCCAGTGTGGTAAGCTTTCTCCTTGGTAAAGGCTACGCATTCTCATGGATGCACCTCCAGGTTGATCAGCGTGCATGAAGCCAGCACTTAATTGGCTGGCACATAGTCGGTGCGAAGTCGAAACAAGGTAGTTGATGGTGAACCATCAAGTCCGCATGTTGAACCATCATCTCCGCATGTTGGGTTGAAGGTGGAGCTGCCGTAAACGCTCAACGTTGCCTTGAAACCGGCGATGGCCCTCATGTTAGTGCCCCATGAGAAGGTGCCAAAATCCACCGATGAGCTTCTGCAAAATGCCAACTGTACGGATACGGTTCTCGGAATTTGTGGTGGTTTACCATCATGGAGGGGGGTGATCACCTAACCATCCTTCACGAGACAAGGCTTGAGAGATGGACTCAGTGCTTGGGACGTGGCGGTTCTGATCGGTTGCAAAGGCCATCCGGCTCTGCTGTGGAGCGATAGGAACACCTAGCTGAACACCTCGCTGGGAATTCGCAATGTTTAGAGGGTGATATGGCCACGTTACCTCGGAATATGTTTGGATGGTGGCATCATCCCCCGAAGTCTCAGAAACGCCTGCGGCAATGAGTGGGATTCCGCCAGCATTCCTAACGGTCTGCTCAAATTCCTCAATGATTTCCTTGAATGCGGGGAATTTACTTTCTTTCTCAGCATTTGCCTCTCTACTGCTAAAAAGCATCCAGTTGTTGGAATTTCTCTGGCAGGCCAGAACATGACGTCGATGGATTTTGTCTTGTGTGATGTACTTCTTATGCAGATCCCATAAGGCGTTCAAAACTTTAATGTCTTGCTCTACTACTTTCTCAAAATCCTCAGGTGAAGCGGACTCAGCAAACATGGGCAAATCCCACAACATCCTTGCCAAATACAGGTTAATCTTCCGAACCCATCCCGTCATACTATGCGTCCGGGCAGGCCGCTTTTCAGGGGGTACTGGTTTCTCCTCGTCTCTTCGCAGCATGATTTGCCTAATCAAAGGGGACATGCGCCTGACCTCTTGGATGTTGTAATTTTCTTCTTGGTCTTTTCCTTGGTAGGTTGTCGTGCTTTCTACTAATTCTAAAAGGGTGTCACCTATAGATTGTCGAACAGGCTCAAGATCCTCGGGAACAAGCCACAAAACCCCTAAATCCATGGTCAAGATCTTCAAAGTGATGAGAGCCAAACGCCCACCCTGGTCTGTGCTAAGAAAAGGAAGTACACTGTTACACATGAAGGCGTTTCTATGCATCCAGTCCAGAACATTTATGACATTCTGACGTGCTGGAGGAGGCAACCCTCGCCCTTCCCAATCTTTCCACGTCTCACCAATCCGGAAACGGTGCCTTGGACCTGATCCCCCATCGGGCGCTCCACCGGAAGCCGTGGAATAGCCGTCCTGATGAGTGCGCAGCCCACCCTTATTGAACTGCACTTGCGCTGACTCCATCGGATTATGTGGAGTTTGATGCCATGCTCCCTCAGGGTACGCGAAGGGGAGAAGGACTGTCTCTTGGTCACTCAGTTCTTGGGAATAGGGGTAGAAGGTATCTCCGTAGGGTGCCCAGTAGCTATATGGCACTTGAGTAGCAGACTCTTGGAGAAACTGATCTACAGCAAGCTCCGGTGGTTCATACATGCTTTGGTGTAAGTCTCCAGGAGGAAAATAGATGTCACCGACATGCAACGGATCTAACTGGAGCTCTTGTGGATGTTGCGTCCACCGAAGAGACGGCTCCGCCGCACTTGCATCACCTGCGGGCCCTGAATACCCTTCCCCAAAGGGGTCTTGGCTTGAAGGTGACAAGGATTGTACTTTCCGGGATTGCGTAAGCCCCCCTGCAGCTGATCCCCCGTCGGGCGGTTCATCTGAAGGCGCGGAATCGCCGTCCCGATGTGGGGGCAGCCCACCGTGATTGAACTGCATTTGCGCTGAGTCTTTCGGATTATGCGGAGTTTGATACCATGGTCCCTCAGGGTACGCGAAGGGGAGAAGGACCGACTCTTGGTCACTTGGTTCTTGGGAATAGGGGTAGAAGGTATCTGTACCGGCTGCCATATGCATATATGACACTTGATCAACAACCCTTTGCAAAAGCGGATATGCAGCAAGACCTGGTTGTTCATCCATACTTTGCTGTAAGTCTCCAGTCGGAAAATATATGCCACCGGCATGCAACGGATCTAACTGGAGCTCCTGCGGAGATTGCATCCACTGAGGAGGCGGCTCCCCCGCACTTGCAGCACCTGCAGTCTCTGGATACCACTGCCAAAAGGCATCCCCATCCGCCTCAGACCATTCCTGAGGAAAGTGAGCTGACGCCTCATTTGCCGCTGCTGTTTCCATACCTTGGGCCGCGGGAAGCTCAGATGGCAGCGTATGCGGGGCCTCATGAGACGGCTCGGGGGACCCACCATCCTCAGATTCCCCCCCCTCCTTATGTGTGTGGTCGCCAAGGCATGCCGTTTCGTTGACGTCGGCTAGCGCCCTCGATGTGCCAGCTGACTTCCGCCCAGACCTCAGACGGTCGAAGCAGCGTAACACCCAATACAGCACTGCCAGAGAGGCGAACGTCAATGCCAAAACGCGGTAATTTGGGGGCCAGAACGGTTTGCTCCTATGCAGGGGATGCGTCACCAGAGGACCATCGTCGCAGCAGTGTTCTGCCGAGTGGGGAGTTCCCACTCCAACGGCGTTCACGGAGGCTTCTACTGCCCCACGCAAAGTTATTGTTGAGACCCCCATTGAAAATAAGGCGTGCGCATCCACTTTATATGTTTTTCAAATGAGCCTCTGGCGGACGTTGGGGCTCAACTGACATCTGTCGGAAGCATCACCCCACAAACGTATTAACGGTTGCTAGGAGCATTTCGAGAATTCTCAAGACTCAAGGTGACACACAGATATCAGGTTTGAATGGAATAGGCTTGGGAGTAGTGGGAGCGTCGCTGCATTGACCAGCTCACACCGAGGGATTGCAGAACATCAAACGGAAACTTATCGACAATAGAAGGCGACTTCTGTGTGGTGCACGACACATGATGAAGAACGGAGGCAAAAAGGTGCCAATTCAATTTAATTTGTTTAAATTAAAAAACCTTGGAAGCCTCGAGAGGGAAACATTGCGACCCCCTGGAAATCGGATCGACTGGCTGCAAGATCGCCGCGTATAGTATGGCCCAGGAGGGCCAGATCTGCGCAGTAGCGATGTTTTTTTGTAGCTTGTGGGAATGCAAAAGCAAATGTGCAGAAATTAATTATAGCAATGAAAATTTATGTTTAATTACAATTGAGCTCAATGGTCTGTGCACGCTCCGTGCACCGGGCGACCGCCGTCCGTCCGTATATTCGACGGTCGTGCTAGCGAAGTATTTCGGCTTTTGCCCCCTAATAGGAGGAGATATGTTTATAAATACACAACAACTGTGTATTCACAACTTCGTTCGGGGAATATCCCTTACTTGAAACGTCTTGCATCAACGTAACCTCACTGCCCCTCTTAGCTCGCACTGGCGTGCATGAGCGGCTCCTTTTGGCAACCGTGGGTCGCAGCACATAGTGTTGACGGCTCCCAGCCAATGTTGAAAATTTAAAGCATACGTTTGGATCTGAACATTAGCAATTCCTCCTTGTCGTTAGAACACACTCGATGACTTGGCTTCCTTCACCGTTATGGGCCCCTTGTCTAATAGCCTGTGGTTTGTAGCGTGTGGTTTGTAGCGTGGTTGTAGCATACTTTGTCCCATTTTGGCACGTCTGCCTCAAGGTGGCTCACTAACCCTTATCGGGCCCTAGTAGGCAAGCGGTAAGCAGGCAAAGGTTCCAAACAACGGTACAGTGTAAATGCATACGGCCAAGAAGGCCTGTTTTGTGTTTCATGTGGGGCTGCCGTGCACCGTGAGCTCTAGCAAGGTGCACGGCAACTGTTGTTAGACCGCCTCCTCTACCGCAGCTTCAGGCGCTCGAGCTACTTCGCCAAGGCTCCCTGGAGACTGGGGAGGGAGGTCGGCTGCCTTAACAAGCTGTCAACTGAAGTCCACAGATACGGTCTTCGACCCGCGTTACACTTTGTAGCAGCGCGTGGTGTATAGGCAGCAGGTGCGAACAACCAGCCCCACTGCCACAGCATGTCCCCGGCACCACCAACAGCTTATTGTGCAGAAGTGCGGACAAACGATTGACGTGGCAACCGTACGCGCATACTCCCCGAGAGTTAACTCTTTGTTTATGTAAATTCGTATGAATCGTAAGGCGCAGCTAGCTTCGAAGTGAGCCTGATATCTGAAGCTACGGAGAGAAAATGCAGTCTTGAAGTCCATCACTGTGCGCAATCGCCACGGCTACACTTTGCCGATGGCAGGCACGGAGTGCACCTCTCAGTATTTCCAACAGTAGTTACATCCTCTATTGTTGAAGGAGTGAAATCACTTTTCCAGGGAGACAGGAACAACCAGGCAACTACGCAGACCAGAGATACTGTAGGAGAGGGCGGAGAAATGCTTGCAATCCGCCGAGCGGGTCTTGCCAAGACCGCAGTTTGTGCGGAATATGGCCCAGTCACGACATGAGGAGGAGCAGAAGTGCGCACAATGAAGATAAATGGTCTAATAAGTATTATATAACATACCAGCAGACACGCAACGTGCAAGGTACTCAACTTACCTCATCGAACACATCCATGGAGCAGTTCCAAGCTCTATTCCAACATACAGGCAACACCCACATGTTGGAGAGGCAAGCGATCTGCAGGCAGACGAACTGACAAGACAAGGGAAAGCCCAACTCTCAACTAGTGTATGTACGACAGCATGGCGCCCTTCATCGCCCTCTGCATATTCCCAATCGGCTTTCTCTGCAGGTGCCACAGTCCCAGTTTTTCAGCATCATCCGCGAGCAACTCGTCGGATAGAGGCTGGAGTGCATGCTGCGCTAGGTAAACAAAGCAGCAGAAGCAGACCAAGGCCGCCATAGATACGCAGCAATAGGAGGGAATTAAGAGTCGATACACTCACGTTCACAGCGAATAAGGGAACAAGAGCCCTTGCACTCCTGGTGGGAGAGGGGAAGACGAATGTTGGATAGTCCGTGCGATGTAGGTAAATCTGAAACTAACACATGAACTGTAGAGCGCAGCGGCTTTCCGCGGTGTCTACGTATATCTACCTATGCCGGCCAGCGGCCTGTTTGTCCTCGGATCTACACCAGGGGAAATCCCCTGGAAACGGATATCCTCCTGTGTGTGTCGACTCTTCCAGAGATTCTCGGAACCGCCCCTCCTGAGATTGCCAGGGGTCGGTGCAGAATCGTGTCGTCGGTCTGGCACCAAGTGCCTGGCCGACGCGGCTGGTTGGCCCTCTGTTACCATTAGGCCGAATCTCTAACTAAAGGTGTTTTTATTACTAAATTCTCATCAAAACTCATTTTCCCCTTCGGTAGATAGCTCCCGATAGGCTCTACCCAGGTTCCTTGGTACCATAGCGCCTAGGCGGATTCCCTTACGAGCTGGTGCGGCTGTTTAGCACCCTGGTTCCAATAGCCTACTACGTTAACTACGGGTTCCCAATCACAGTAATACGTATATAACTGACTCATTCCTCTAACTGAAATAATCCTTGACCCTAAATGACTAATAGTATCTATCCCCTACCTTAGTATAAGGCTACTGAAGCTTACATATGAGGTGTATTGTAGTGCCCAGGCAGGCATGAACCCTTGCTAGGCCCTAGTAGGCCACTGATAAGAGAACCCTATTGGAAGTTCTTTAGAGTGATCTGCAGCGTTTGAACATACCGTCGATTAGGCTTGTTTGTTCTTGTATGCGTGGCTGTCTTGCAACGAGTCGCAGCAAAGGCCTTTGCAACTCATGACAGACCGCCTCGTCTCCCGCAATTCCAGGGGCCCCAGGAGTTGCAGCCGTTGGTCTTATGACTCCTGGGGATTACTGAGAGATGCCAGATGCTATTAAATGATCTAAAGTGTTTTGGTTCTACTGCATAGTCCTCCGATGGTCCTCGACCTGCGTTACAGGCACTGCAAGTTCACTGTAAGTGGTGCACACCATTGGGGCAAAAAGGCCTTGTCTGCAGTTAGATTCTGGCATATCTTCATAAATGTGTACTACAATGCATTAATTCTATGTGTGATAGTGCACTGTAGATTGAGGGCCTGGAGGGGGCCTTTTGGGGCCTATGGAGTACCCTGCAGCATTCAGCTGCGAGCAGCTCAGCCCCAAGAGATGGGACCCCCCATTTGCGTCGAGGTGTATTGCACCGTCAACTTCAACAATTTGGATTTTGGCCGTTTTTTCTGCTGGCAGCGCGGTACTGCTTCACAAATGAACCCAGGCTACCCTCTCAGTCAGTCGCTCATCTGCGAAGCCTGCTGGGTCACTTCCAATAGCAGTAAGGAACGTGGGCACGCGGGTTTACAGTGTTCTCCTTCCGCATCATCAGCTGCTTGGGATTTTGTGCTTTCAGTTGCAAGCGGCTGGTGACTTCGGTTGGAAATGAGGCGCTGCAGTGCTTGTGCTGCCACCGCCTCCTGCCGTAGCGTACAATTGCGGGCTCTCCTTCCCCCTACGATGTGGGTCCTTTTCGCGCTTGTTCTTAGCAGTTCCCTCTTAAGCGCTGCACATGCCTCAGATGGTCAATTATCGATGGCTTCAGATGCGAACAGCAGCTGGAGTTCTGCCTTTGTGGGCACGTTGTTCATGATTATATGCTCCGAACTAGGGGATAAGGTGAGGAAGGGTCCTCGGATGATAGTACTCCTAGCATTTTAGGATCAGGTCGATTGGCCATTTGCCAGCTGGAGAGCGACTTAAGAAGCGGCTTAGCAGTTTGTCTCGCCTTAAGACAAACAGGGCGTATACGTGTGGATGGCTGCAGATTGATGCTGCAAATGCACATCTGTGTTCTCTGCTTAGACATTCTTAATCACCGCCATACTCTCCATGAGATGCGCGAAAGCTGGTAATTCAAAGAAGACGCAGTCGGGGTCAAATAAACTGGGCAGTCGGTGGCATGTCTTCGCTGGGGGCTTCCTCGCGCTGGCGCTGATGACGATGATGGCTGCTGCAGGCGGCCAACTCCTCCCGCTGCTGCTACCTCAAGAGCTTCGCACCATTTTTATGGTCTGTCTTCTCGTGATTTTTGGAGCAAAGATGCTGCATGAGGCTGCGGTGTACAGAGAGGCCGCTGAGGAGGCCGGTAGGCCAGCGCCAACAACCCCTCCTGCATCCCGCGTGATTCGCCGCATCCATATTTTGCCTCAGTTCCTCGACTGTTCTTTCGTGCTGTGGGGTTTTACAGCACCCGTGGTGCTACTGAACGAAATAGTGGCGAGGGGACGCAGAGCGCATGCCACTTACTAGCAGCTGATAGTGCTTTGCTGCTAACGTTGAACAACTGTAGCAATCACCTGTATTTCCCGCACGTTTGCGTTCTTTGTCTCAGATGATCTCAAGGATTTGTGCGAGAGTGATATCTCTGTAAATGGGTCGACGCTGCTGTGCGTTGCACGCAATTTCTTCAGTCCTGTCTTCCTCCAGGTACGTTGTCTCCAGCTCGCAGCAGCAGACAGCAACGTTGTTCTTGAGACTGTCTTTAGCTAGTCGGTATATACAGTAATTGTCCATCAGGCTCCTCCAAAGTGCAAAAGGTGCTGGGTAGTGCTTCGTTACTGCTGTGGACTAGGCTGCTTCGTTGACGCTCATGGCTGAATGGGGCGACCGGTCGCAGCTGGCCACTTTCGCCCTGGCTGCCGACAGGAGTGCCTCTGCAGTTTGTTTGGGTAAGTTGCAGGCATTTTTGAGATGCTTTCCCCCCTTAAGTTTCACAGGGGATTGCACATGCTTGTAGATTTTTTCCTGCACAAGTGGAACTTCAATTAAAATGAAAAACGGTGGATGTTGTTCCCATCTAGTGGTGTGCTGCTTGCGAATTTGCCGCAGGAGCCATTCTCGGACATGGGCTGTGCACCGCTCTGGCTGTTTTGGGTGGGAATGTCTTGGCGAAACGCATATCTGAGCGCGTCGTGCTGGTGCTAGGAGGTCAGCTCGTTGGCACAACTGCATGGACGGGCGCAAAGGGGTCAGGTTCCAACGGTAGCATGCACTTGAAGCGCTTGCGTATGGAGGCGGGTGCGTGCCGTTCGAATTACTACTCGACCGTTGTCTCTCTGCCTCCGACATTGTGGTGCTCTTGCAGGGATATGCTTTCTGTCTTTTGCTGCGTTCACGGCATTGGGGGAGTTCTTCGGCAGCCAAATGGCTCTTCTTTGAACCTGAATGGAGTGAGGGCGCAGCATATCGCTGTTGTATCTTGGTGTGGTATCTGGTGATCGCCTTCAAAAAAACACCGCCAAGACCCGCATGCTTTTCTTGCTTTCACAGTCATTCGGGTGTCGAAGACCTGTGGGTCAGCCAGACAGTTTTGGCTGTGTGCGGTACCAGATGGTCTGCGGTGCTGTTCGTGGTACGACTGTCCTGCAGTGATTGTTGCAGGGCCGGACGCGATTCTCTCCCCTGCAAAACTGAAACTTCTGATATTTCTGCATGGGATTCGATATCATGCTATCCTGAACGGTCCCTAGCCCCTCTGCTTGGTTGATGCCTTGCACGCGCAGTGTGCTGAGGTGTACGCAGAGCCCTGGACCGTCGGCAAGTCGTTTTCCTCCTTTTTAGAATCATTGCTGGCGTTGCACTTTCTGTGGTCAAGCTGTTGGAAAGTAACGGTTTTGCCGATCCGTTGAAAAACCTTACATACACAGTAATTGTAGAAGGAAGTCTTCCCTTCCTGCCGCTGCTGCGGGCATCGCCGCACGCTGTTATGATGGATGTGCGAGCATGGATTTCGCTTATTTTCGTCACTGTCGGACTCGCTGGTGCAGGTGGATACCGTGGCAGACGGGACAGTCATAGGGCTCGGAAAGCAAGAGCAACTTGGTTGCACCAGTCTTCTGTTAAAGTGGAGATCTTGTGAGTTCGATAAGAGAAATGTACGTTTCAGCGAATACTTTGATGGATACTCCAATTCAGTTACGAGGCTCTATGCCCCTTCTGCAAGAGCGTAAGACGCTTCATTATTTCATGACTTACCTCCCAGTGTTCATTTGTTCGGAAATGGGGGCTGCAACTTCTTAGTACCTTACCGGTCAGGTGACTAGGACCATGCGATCGGAGCTGGGGAAGTTCATCGACATACATCTATACCCATACGGTATCCCTGAAAAAACCCTCCTTATGAGAACTGTGCTACAGACCTGCTGTAGGGAACGCGGCTGACGTGAATGGCTCTGTTATGTGCCAGCACGGCACCGAAGAGTGTCGCCTGTGAGAGGGCCTTCCGCTATGCCATGTGGCTGTATTAAAGGCGCTTGCTCATCTATTATTCATTTCAGAAACATTCTATCCGCCTGCGGAATCAAAAAGATTCAGGGGAACTCGGACAGCGGACTCGAGTTCATCGATTGGTGAGAATTAGACTAAGGGTTTGGACAGGGGGTTCCGTCTGCCACGGATATAGCCCGAAGGCACTCGCGGGCATTTGACTTGTGTTTTTATTAGTTGAGTGCTTATTCATAAAACTTTTAGCGTAGAAGGGCTCAAGAGCGCCTCGGATGGAAGGTGGCGTGATTGTCTATCTGTCAGTGGGCAGCACAAGGGCGAAATTGAGGGTATGCGGATCAGGCAATGTTACTGTCTTGACGGCAGTCTCCCCCAGTGCTTAGCTCCTTTTTTAGCTTGCTTTCAGGGTGACGAAGGCCAACGGCTGCTGTACGCAGCATTCGATGCTTGGCGTTTGGCGGGGCTGCCCTGTGTAAAGACTTGAGAACGCTTCAGGAAAGACATTGGGAACCTATCCAGAAGACACCCGTACAGCTACGTGCCATGGGTGCTCGTAAATGGTCGGCACTCGGCAAGCGCAGAGTCGAATATCACGCTTGCGGTATGTGAAGAGTACGTCTAGCACCCTCAGGGCAATGTCTCTGTCGCAGGCATTAGTCATGACCACCTCTTTACCAGGCTGGGTGCTGGGCGGCCACACATTTGCTCCACTCTTTCCGAAGTGGGGGCTTTGGGCTTCCTCGATGAGGGGCAGCGGTGCTTTCGTGACTCTCCTTGGCTTCCGCGTACACAGCCTCTGTAGGCACGAAGGTGTGGAATGGAAGAAATAACCCTGACACTCAATACATACGGATATATGTAATAGGCCCAAGCATACGAAGCATGAAATTATAAGTGTCTGCCATACGGCGCCATAAACTCGACAGCGTGCACACAGCGTGCTGCTGACAACGTGCAAGCAACGCAACAAAAGGGCATGTCTCCCGACTTCGAAGGCGAAACAGCCGGATGGCCACTGGTCCACAGGTCCTTTTGTCAACGTTTATGCGCCTATCCCGAGTCACGCAGGGCCCACTGCACCGAGTCAAGTTTCCGGGCAGACAAGATTACTGGCCTCCTATCCACGTCGCCACAGTTTCGCTCGTTCACACTGTACACAGGCGAACCCCCGCATTCACCTTGAAAAGGATAGGAGTACGTTTTCGTACTGCCTTTTAACATGTTGCTATGCCAAGCAGCAGCCGCAGCCTCCTGCGTGATTGCTGTTGTGGGCCACAACCCCACCGGTGGGCCCCGTCAGGGGTGGGCCCTCTCCATGGATTAGGAACAACCGCACGCGTATAGGTGCCTTGCTTGTTAGCCTTTTTTCTTCTTTGTGAATTTAAGCAACTTCGTAGTTGGGCATTGAACCGAAGTCGGTTCTTTCCCTGTGTACGTGGGTGGCTGTGGCAACCGGCCACAGCAGGATGTTCGCAGACGCTGTTGAAAATGGGTTTGTGCACGCTTGTGTCAACTCCCCCTCAGGGTTGCCAAGCTCCCTTGAACGGCGATGTGAAGTAGACGGCAGCATCCCAGACGGTCATCGTGGTTCGGGGAAGTTGCTGCTGTCAGCACTGCAGCGCGTAGATGCAATACATCTCTTGCCTTGTCACATGAAATACAGCGGATTGGCATCTGTGGCAGAGTTATTTAAGCCAACACGAGTATCTCCTGTTACAGTGTGGGGAGAAGCAGCAGCAGGGCTTGAAGTGCTCCTGCATGGACGTTGTCTGCGAGGGAAGCAAGAGCGCTTGGCCTCCGATAACCTGGTTAGTTCCTCCAGCGCCATCGCAGCACATACGCTTCACGGCTTTGTTGTGGCTGCCCAGGAGACTACCTGCAGCCTAGTGGACTTGCGGAGAAACTTCTCCCTAGCTGCTGCTGCAGACTCCGCTCCAGACAATGGCTGCGTGGAGACTGAAGAGCCGCCTACCGCTGTCACCTCGCTGCGCCCATTAGCGGAATTCGACAAGATATGGTTTGTATTCACCCATACCACTACCAAAACTTGTTCTCTATGCGCAGAGCCATTCGCAATTGAGCTGCAAGCCCACTTATCCCTTTCGGAGACACATTTCGTTCTCCCTTCATGAATGCGCTTGCTGTGCTTTGTTGTGCGTACGCTGCAGCTACTGGCAGCAAGACCGCGAACCTGCAAATGGTGACGACATCCCACAAAGTCTTTTCTTTTTGCGGGCGATGACCGCTGTAAGGCGCTCATTCTCTGTCCTGTACTCCCTTCGAGATGCCATATTTTTGTAGTTGTAGCTGGAGTGAAAACTGAGTTCCTGCTCAGCATCGCGCATTTAGTTTGTGTCTATTGCACGCACACCGTAGAACGAGACTATTTATTGCAGCAGTGCCTTTCATCTCCACAGTTCTGGGGCAAATGCTTTGCGTGCAGCTGCACGACTACCACGATGAATTAAAATAACGGATTTCGTTGGCTGGCAGCCACACGTTCCGTGTACAGCCAGGAAAGTTCAGAGTTCCACCATCAAGGAAGGTGAAACAAGACCCAAGCGCCGTTTGGATTGCTTAGAAGAAAATAGGCAGCACTGCCAAATTTCGCCGAGTGTGCAATTATAACCAAAAGGGACATGCAGACTGCCCACTATGAAATGCGTAGAAGTGCTTACGCTCAACTGATGTGTTATGGCCTTTTTGTGGGAAAAATTTAAATATAAGTGTACATCCACAGAAGCTGGTAGGTAAGAAGCCGTGGAGCTTCTCAGACACCATTAAATGCGAACAGCAGCCTCCCCGTTGGTAGACATATTGTAACATTTTGCAATACACATATGACTCAACGGGAAGCGCATTCTACAGAACACAAAAGTTCACTGTTCCACCCTCCTTGAGGAGATACTGGAAGAGTCCCCAGTAAACGGGTTAGGACTATTGACTATTGCAAATGCCGGTACACTCGCCCGATGTAAATCGAGCACCCGAGCACCCAGTTAGTTAACATAGTTAAACAACCTTTGAGAGCTGCACAAGGACCAAGACGCCATGCACACTCTTGTGGTTACACAGCGGGACCGTGACAACAACCAATGTCTAAATTTGCAGACGCGCTGTAAAATAGGAGAGCGAACAAGGCGCAGCTGTACTCGCGTGGCCCTAGGTACTGGATTTTGTCGATTGTAGAAGCGCACCGGGCCTGCAACCGCCCCATTTCCGTTCGATCGGTGTGATGGCCCACAGAAGGCTAATTCACTCCGCGGGGGCAACGCTCAAGATGTGCGCTGCTGTCTGTTCACGGATTTATACTTTCGCGAGTCTTTCCGGCTCATTCGCGTCCGGTCCCGGCAGCCTTTACCTCCCTGATGCGCGACAGACACAGAATGGAGTTACAGCACTTACCAGCAGTTGCAACCGCTTCCGAGTTATTTTTCGTGTTGCCCTCCCTGATATATATCGTATTGTAAGCTACGTATGAAACAAAAGGATAGCTTGCCTCCCAGTGAGCTGTGCCGCCACCTTTCGTCAATGCTTTGCCGCAGGTACACGGCTTCCCATTGGCGAAAGGCTGCTCGGTTGAGCAGAAACCACATATCATTCGCGTTGCCCATTCGTGTTCGTGATCTTCAGTGCTATCGTGGCACACATCACACGGGTATGCCTGAGGGCGAGCGTACACAACCCGCACAAACGCTTGCATTGCTGGTACCCACATGAGTGCCACTTGCCGCACCATCCCCAATTTCATCTAGCAGCACTACTTAGACTGGCACAACAGTAGAGGAAGAATTACACATGCTTGAACGAACGGCCCAAATTGCTTGCCTTGCCACAGCAAGGAAAGCGGAGCCACCGAAATGACTTCTTGTAGTGCTTGCACGTCCCAAAATCTGCAAGGGGACACCCAACGACGATCCGCAGGTCTTGTTTCCGCTGTCTCTGTTGGGCACTGGGAGATGGACGACTTCTGAGAATCAGCATACGCAATTAGGCAGGTAAATTCACCCTAAGTATACAGAGGAATGTGTGTCCCGGCTGAGACACCACATGGAAGGCCTTCCTGATATCATAGCCAATCTGCTCCATCCCGAAGCCAGCGCAATACCGCACAGTCATACTGGTTCACAAAGTACAAAATACCGCGAATGCCCTTGTGTAATCGGTGCAACTACGCACATTCACAGCGCAATATGAATTCAGTGTTTCCTAGAGGATCAGTTGCCTGCGAATCACCAACCTGGAGTCGGTCGTGGATAAGCCGCAGACCACTGCAAACCCGAGGGCAGCGCCTTGGAAGCCGAATGTAATTTTAGAGTGACAGTGGCGGCAATGATTTGTCCGGGGAGCGCCTGTAGAGTTGTCCGCAAAACTTTAGAAGCGGAGCAATGTAAATGCTGCAACGCTGGCTCTTTGAGTATAAATTTCCCGATGCTACGAATTCAGGTGTTTTGTTTCTTGCTGTTTTGCGTTTTGCGCAGGACACATGGAGTAGTAAGTCACCAACTAAAATACGGGCTAAAGGAGTTGTTCGGACACCAGCTACATACCGCTTTGCATTCCTCGAGTCTTCATGCTGGCGCCGCAGCAGTCACACACCAAGACAAAATCACACGGTAGCAAGTCCTTAAGATTACAATCAATGGGATGCACAGCAGCCACTCGCATAAGCTGGCTTCCAGCAACACCAATAGTTGGCTGCACTCTAATGCCAATCCGCAGTAGGCACTTGGCGCAGCCCACCGAGCAACCTGCAACGCATGCAGCCACCTGCCCTCTATTTCCTAGCTTGCATCCCTGTAAACAGAATATGTTTTTCCCAACGTCCAAGCAGAGCCGCAGCGGCACTGCAACTCCTCAGGCCGTGCAGGCACAAATGGTAGTCTGCAGTCTCCCACTCTAACTGCCAGCCTATCATGAGGCCCGATGAGAAACAACCCGCTGCATGATAACCTGCTAAGGGACGGTGAGGTTTAGACGCCCCTAGCATTGAAAAAGGTTACCTGCAGGCTCCAGAGAGGCTCCATCCTTTGGCAAGGGCACGCGCACGTCCACTACAGCTCTGCACCGGCCGCAGGTAACTTGGAGTTGGATGCAACTCAGATGCAAAGAAGAGACTCCTTCTGTTGTGCTGTCAATCAGAGAGACGTCGGTGCCGCGCACTGCTTGAGACGGCCCCTTATTTATCTCCACCTGGGCTTCTCCATCTTCTCCTTTGCTGTCAGGTACTGCTTCATTCGTGCCTTCGTGCAATTCCTCAGCCTTCTCAGGTTTGTTGACACTTGGTTCTCTTGCTGCTGCCTGGACAAGCCACAGCCACAGCACGTATTGGGAGATTTGTTGGCCAGGCTCATGCCTCCTGCTCAACGGGGTGTCCGCGCATGACTCGTGGAGCAAATAGACACAAAGCGGTTGGATTAGGAGTGAGCGTTTGCATTCTACTTTTTCACGATTCAATTCTCCAATGATTCGTAGGCATACCTGTTGACGTTGACTTAACACGTTTTCTCTGCACCGTTGAAATCGAATGGCGCACTCTTTGGCCGTGCGGCTGCCCACATGACTGCTGATGTTCCGCCAACGTAAAGTTGGCTCCGCCACCCGGCGGTATAACACCACCGCTTCCTCTAGTCTGAGTCAGTGCACAAAGCGACTGCAGCTCATACCTAGACTAAACAGCTGAAATCTAGAAGAGTGCAGCTTAGGTGCACAATTTCTACGCGTTTTGGCACAGGGCATGGCATAGCAAGGAAAAGCGCTCTTCCACTAGCATGCACGGACAGCGACCAGGCCACCCACTACTGTCCACTATTGTACGCCCTAACCCCAGTACTTCATGCTGAAGCAACGGTATTACAAAACTGCGACGAATTACAGTGAATACAAACGCTCCAGAACCACGAAAATGCCTACTCGGAAACGTGGTGGCTGGAACTCCTACGCTGTTATACAGAGCGTTGCTCACATTGAAATACGTTCCTATGAGCATACCTTCTTTGCTCTTCTTCAGTCCAAGGCTGCTCATGCATCTGCGGAGATGCGCCCTCTTGTGTCAACTCGAGCTCGAAAATTCCCCTCAAGTGTCTGTCCAACGCCTTGATAGCTGTCCTTACAAGATCTGTTTTTTCGTGCCTGGTCAGTTGTTGCTCAATGACTTTGGAGAAGACTAATTCTATAGCATCGCGGCGCAAGTCATTTATCTCTCTGCTGCATACCTCTAAAACGGCTACAGATGGCAAAGAGCCTCTACTCAGCCCCTTAACCGCAGCACCGCCTTCACTAGAGGACGCATGAGAAACACTTTCACTGCAAGCACCGGCAGCACGTTGTGTTTCTGTAAATGTAGGACCTGCTGCTGCTTGCTGGCCACTGAGTGCAGAATCGGGCCCATCCTGGGCTGCGCGTCGTGGCGCTGGCCTGCTCACGGACCCATCGGAAACAGATACAGCGGAAGTGGCAGCAGCTGTGCCTTCTGATGCGTCGCCAAAGTCATCTTTCAGTCCAGACGAGTCCCCCAGTACCGCCTCAGCCCCCGGATAAGACTTCCTCATTGTCACACACAGGCGCAGCCCATTGGGCAACATATTCGTATCAAAATCTGGATCCGTTGGGGTAAGCAGCAGCTCAAACTTGCATAATATCGAGCTGGCAATCTCCGGCTCACAGTTGGCTTCTTTTTGTTCACCAGTAGCAGCCTTGGGTCTACAGCCAACTGGACCCCAGGCCTGAGGGTCTTTCTCGCGGTCTATAGGAGGTGCTACCTGTAGAGTGTCGCGATTCGCCGAATCAGTGCTGCTTGACTGGCAAATTGTGAAGTGAGCTGCTGCATCTGGAGGAGAACTCCTTGGAGGAAGGGGCCTGGCCTTACAGAAGAATGCGCCCCCCGCAGTTGCATTATACGGGTCCTGTTGCAACATGGGTAAAAGCAGCGGGTGGCAGGACAAGAGAGAAAAGGTGCTGCTAAACTGACGCCGAAGTCTTTGTAGCTCCAGCACCACAGCAGATGTCCCTCCAACCAGTGGGGGTCGCACGCAAACGGGTCGAGAAGACACAACCCTCTGCACTTGGCGCCGTATCTGCTCCTGCTTCTCCCCTAGCTTATGCTGCTGTTCTTGCAGGCGTTGCTGCGGCTGTTGGTTGGGAGTTTTCTGCCTTTGATCCTGAAGTGGTTGTTGTTGCATGTTCCGGCAATCCTGGTGCACTTTGGGTTGTTGCTCTTGTTGCTGCGATGAGTTCCCCCGTTGTACACGCTGTAGCGGTTTGCGCTGCCTCTCATTCTGCTCTTTCTGCTTCTCCTTGTGATTCTGCCCCACGTAGTTCGCTTGCTGATGCTGTTGCCCATGTTGCTTTTTCACCTCCGCTTTCTCATGTGTTGTGGGCCGCCACACATACTGTAGGTACTGCTGCGATCTGGCCCCCCTACTTCGCCATTGTCGCTGCCCTTTGCTGCGCTGTGCCCCGGTGTATTTCTGTCCTTGCTGCTGCTCCTCTTCTCGACCCAGTGTCAGTGACTTTTGCGGCGCTTTTATGGTCCCTTCTTTCCAACCCTCTGCCGAGACCGGCACTGCCCCCGGTGAGGGCCCCAAAGGGGGATCATGAAGACGTTCCCGCCCCCTGCTAGGCTGGTACCCATTTACGTCACGGATATTTGGGTGCCCTTTCATACGGTATCTCCTCTTGAACTCATTTGAGGGCTTACACCATTTAGGGGGCCCTAGTGAACTCCCATACGCAGGATGCGGGAAGAAGTTGAGGGGGCTCCTGCTGTACCCGCTGTACCCACATCCACCATGAATAGCACCCTGCCCATCTTGCCTCAGGTCTTCCTCAGACACAGGGGGATTAGGAATGTCTGAGGGTTCTGTAGGTCCATCTGGGTGCTGCGCTTGCGCCTGTGGAGCTTCCGCAGCAGGGCGGCTTGGGCATGCAGAGTGACATGAATCCGCGAGCTGAATTTTGGGGTGTACCTCCATTAGGCTTAGGTAGAGAATAAATACAGACGCAGTGGGGAATGCAACCAGAAACTACAATGTTCTGGTTGTCAAGTACCGAAATGACGGCCTAGGCCGTCCAGGAAGGAGGGAACCCAGAGTTGTCCTTGCCAGGCACAATGAAAGGCTTATAACAGGCTCCACACACCGCAGGTCGAGCCACTATCTCTGCTCATCCCTGGGCCCCAAAATAATTGCCCCTGTAGCCTGGTGGGCGGTGAGCGCTGAAAAACCGGAATGGGCTCACTAGCCAGACTTCCAGGTCCTCTCTCCGGTACCCAGGGACGAACAATTCATCTCAAGTCTGTTACTGTTCACAGGAATTACACAAACCAGTTTGGCTGTGTCCTTCTCTATGCTGCGCAACAGCACAATCCTGTGCGCGAGTGTCCCGATATCCTGGCGTTGCCCAGGGCCCCCAGCCTCCAAGACTAGCAGGCTGTGTCCGAGCGAAACACCAAACAACCGAAACATTATATTCCTGAATTAAATATGTTTGAAAGCATCATGGGGTAAACAAAGGCAATTCGAACTAGTCGCGTTAGTAGTCTGAAGCAGGCCCACTGTCCCACGAGCACCCTGCCACGCCGGCAGATTTGCGACCGCCCAACAAATTTGCCGCTTGAGCTCCCGTTCGATGCTCTTCTCTCCAGTTGCACAGACATTACCAAGGCTTCATACATGCTTCACTTATGGTGCAAACAGTCTGTCATTTCCAAGCGCAATGGCCCATTGGTGCAAAGGGCAGTAGACAGGAAATCTGGTGCCCAAGCTGGCAAATTATGGAGAAGTGAGCATTCAAAACTTCTCTGTAGTGATTGCACAAGGGACAAACGATTCCTGCTTGTGCTTGCATTCAGCGTTGAGTAGCAGAACTAGCTACACCAAAGTGCGTTGCAACTGACGACGCACCGCGGAACGCCGCCTATCAGAGGTCTATTATGAGCTGCAGCGGAGCCAAAACACTTAGGATGAGAGCTTTTGCAATGCAGTCGACATCCTTCCCCCCGTATTGGGACGTGCTAAATTAAAAGCTCCACTTTGAGGAGTTCATCTGGGTGCATAACCGCCTTTACTCAAACAGCGTGCGGTTAGCGCTTTTGACATGACCGCCTTCTTTAGGATGGTTTGCGGTGCTTATGTTATGGCCGATGTTAGGCCGCTTCATGAATTTTCGCCGTAAGGCACTAACGACCTTGGGACCCTTGCCAATTAGGGTAATCTCCAGCAAACCATGAAGCTTTCAGACAATTACTAAATCATCGGGCCGCTGTCTTTGCTGTTATCAAACTAGAAATGAAGTGAGCATTCTTTCTGAGCTTATGCACTACAGCATAGGCGATATCATAGCAGCTGACTGACGGTAGAGTCACCATGAATTCCATTGGAAAGTGCGCCGATATCCTTTAGTGAAGTGGCAGTTTCTGCAGGAATCGGGGAATGGCTGTGGTCCTTAGGTTTTGCTGTTGCCGTTCCCGATTTGTCAAAACAACTCATTCCGCTGCAGGGCGCATCGCAAGCCATCCAGATGGTCCCGCCACTCACTTTGCGGATGCACTTACTGACGCGTTACCCTCCAAAGCATGATCGTGCAGGCTTTGTACGACGTTTATACGAAGTGAACTTGCAGCTTATAGTAGGCGGATTCCATGCCTCGTCTGTTACCACAGAAATCCTCTCCGATACTACCTGTTTCATCCGTCTCCAATTGTTGAGCTTAGGTTAACTAGCAACCAGACGAGTATCGAGGCAGTATGGTGAAGGAAATGTTGAAGGGAAACTGGAATCATAACACGTAAGCGCAGTGGCTAACACGTAGGGTGTCTCTGGAGCACATCAGTGGCCAAGTATGTAGTGCCATGCATATACTTTACCGTGAAGCCTTGATGCTCAAGCCGGTAATGCCGCCGGAGAAGTCTTTCATTACCGTGTTCTTGAAAGTCCTCGTCGGGAGTGTCACGGATTGACGCTAGGTGTGAGGAGTGAAGTGCCTGCCACAACACAACACGACTATGAAAAGGGAAGGGGGGGATACCACGTAGGGCCCTCTCTCGCGTGCTGGGTACTTCTACACCCCTTCTGGGGAACAGTGTGACTAACAGGCGATGAATTTGTGCTTTTCGAACTGCTAGACTGTTCAGAGAACATCTCGTCAGCCGTTGTGTCATTGGCATCGGTTGTTAGGAAAAGGCGCTCCTTCAAATCATGGAGCGGTAATACTGGACCGGCGTCAGGTGACAGATACGGCGTGTCCTCACTATCTGTCCAAAGGTAATGGTTATCCTTTTGAAGCATATCCGTTAGAGTGGCGGCAGTGCGGACGAAGCCATGAATGAAGTTGCAGTAGTACCATACGATGTCCAGAAACTGCTAAACTTCCGTGAGAGTGTACAAGGGTAAGGAGAAGCTCCAACAGTTCTCTGCCTCCCCCGGATCTGGGTCGAACCCAGCTGCCAATACAAAATGCCCCGGGAAACTAATTACATGCATAGAAGACGAACACATGCATACCAGCGAATAGCCGCTTCTCGCGTAGATATTGTGGACCACGCCATAAGTGCTAGAGGTGCTCCAGCATATT